TTTTTTTTTTTCTTTCAAATTTACATCCAGATATGGGAACTGGAAGACAGATACAGGTAAAGTGGCCCAGTACTCAGAATTATGGTAGGTGCGTCACGTTGCATATAGCTTGTACAAGGTCCCTGCCTGGAAGAAACCTGACTCATGACTAGAGCTGGCAAAAAATGTTCAGTATATAGTAAATTCACCAAAAAATACCGTTTTGGGGGCCACTGAAACTATTTGTGAATTTGGATCAAATTCTATGAATAGTTTCAGCTAAATAAAAATGAGGAAGATGTTTCTGAAGAAGTCAAAACAGTGAAATTTTTTTAAATGAACCATTTCAACATTTTGTTTCAAAATGAACAGTTTCATTTTGAAAATGTTGTTTTGTTCAACCTGAACAAAATTTATTTGGTTGGTCATTTTGGCAAGGAAAAAAACACCAGGTTTGGTTCAGAATGAACCTCTTCTTTTGTTTTGTTTAGGATTTTCAGTTCGGCGACTAACCCAGAAAATCAGTTATTTGCTTAGTTCTATTCAGTCAAGGTAGTGGGCCAAGTGCAGCAATAAGATGTCACAGTCACTCACCTATCGGGGGTGTGTAGCATGCTGGAACAGTTGGCACTAATTTGCACTGTTGTTGACAGGCTCACTAGAGAGCATACAAAATGAATGGGCTTGGCCATATCCAAGTCCTTCTAAGGGCTGAGTTACGTTGGTAGGGATGGAAGCTTCTCTTGCCACTGCAAATGCATTACCTGAATCAGGTACTCTTTGCAGTATTTAAATTCACAAAAAACACGATCCTGAAACGGTACAGCTTTAATATATTACAGAGAGGCCCAGTTTCTATATATTTAAAATACATTTTAGGCCTAACTTTTTTTTTTTAAACCAGGTCTCCTTTTTGACAATCATTTTGGGTCCACAAATAATTTTTAGGACAAATGAAGATACATGGACACTTAACTACCTGTGTAGCTATAGGTGAGGTAATCAAATGTCTACATTCCCTCATTTGCACTCCCAATGAGTTGTATTAGCAATTGGTTGGAGGTGTAAAAAGAGAGTCTGAGGCTCTCACCTCCCACCAACGAAGCGCTGTCCACACAGGTGCTTTTCGTCGTTAAAACTTCTGTTTTTCGGGGGGTTGTTTTTTCATATGCCTGAGCAACAAAAGTTTTAACGATGAAAGTGCCAGTGTAGACAAAGTTGAGGCCCTTTGAAGACCAGGCCTGTAATTAAAGAGGGATCTGGTAGTGACATCTATTTTTAGAAAAAAGAAAAGGAGTACTTGTGGCACCTTAAATTGGTTAGTCTCTAAGGTGCCACAAGTACTCCTTTTCTTTTTGTGAATACAGACTAACACGGCTGTTCCTCTGAAACCTGTCATCTATTTTTAGGTTGCCTTACATTTCCATTATAAAAGATTCCTTCAACCTTTGTTTTGACAAACTATGACACCTCCATTGTTTGATGGCAGACTTTGAAATTTGGCAGGGGTAAAGCCCTTGAGCTATCACCCTATTGTCGTATGGAATTCAGTTCAGATTTTGCTCGGTTATAAACTATTGAAAATCACCATTTCTCTTCTGTCACTGGCATTCCATGGGAAATTGTGGCAACAGAGCAAAATAATAATTGAGCATGAACATTCTAAGGTCCGGCCCATGTCCTTGCCACTGCTGCAGCAGGCACTGTACTAAGAACATTTGTGATTTGCCAGGCGTAGGCATATACATTACAACACAATCTTTAATTACGTGGTCACATACTGTTTTTGCTACTGGACCGCTTACTCATTCAGAGCATCATCCTGCTCCCATTGAAGTCAATAATGAAACTCCCATTGACTTCAGTGGAGCAGGATCAACCCCTCAAAGCACAGGATGGGTAAACACAAGAAAGAATTAAGGTTATCTGGGGAGGATAAATTTGGCATTACTGTGTTCTAAGTGCTTGACCTCACAGCTTAAACAACCACCATTTAACATGCAAGTGGGGAGCGGTATGCAAAATATATATATTTGACACCATTCACAATATATTTTATCAGCTATGTGAAGTACATTCTTTTCTGTATAGGCTTTGAATAAAGATATTTGATTATTTATACTTGGTAATGATAAAGAATTCTTGGACCATTTATCTTGGACGTCTGTAACCTAGATTTAATATTGAACATGTATTTTAAATTCCTTGCAGACACTGTCTGTGGTTTTTGCAATGTACTGCCAACTCCCCTTTAGAAATGATCAGCGGTTTGATTTGTAAAAGAGGCTGTGTGTGTATGAGTAAATGAGTTAAAATGCATGTACTGCGCAACATCTTCAAATCACAAGATGTGTTCATCATCTTTCACGAGTTTAGATCATAATCACGGGCCCTTTATTTACGTTTCCATGGTGATTCTGAAAATGCTTTCCCCCCTTTCTAATCAGAGCATTTGTAGATCTGAATGTTGAGTTTTTTCTTTCCCACGAGTAAACTTGGTTGTATTATTATAAAGATATTAGCGTGGCAATCTATGGAGCTGTCTCCTTCCAGGACAAAGATTCAGCAGCAGAAGTCATATCAGGCGTTTGCTCTAGACCCTCTAGTTCTAGCATTTAATTAGCATGTATTTTTTAAAATGCAGCTAAGAAATAGCACCCCACATCATAGCAAATGCTGCAGTTACACTTTGACTTCTGCTTTACAAGTCCCCAAATTTTGAGTGTGTGGTGGCGTGGTCCACACAGGGACTTGTATTGTTGACTCACTTTCAGTTTGTGATCCACTTTAACCCCCATATTCTTTTCAGTGGTACTCCCACCTAGCCAGTTATTCTTTTCTAAGTGTAGTACTTTACTTTTGTCTTTACTGAATTTTTATCTGGTTGATTTCAGACCAATTCTCTAATTGTCAAGGTCATTTTGAATTCTAATCCTGTTCTACAAAGTGCTTGCAACTCCTCCCAGTTTGGTGTCATCTGCAAATTTTATAAGCATATTCTCGACTCCATTTTCCAAGTCATTAATGAAAATACTGATGAAAACACTTTCTTCCCTTTTCATCTCCCAGTTAGTTTCTCAACTTTAAATGCACAAGTCTGAATGAAGCAAATATTCTCTCTGTACCTGCGAGCTAAACTGAAACCAAAAGTAATTAAGGCAAAAGCTTTCTGTGGAACAGAAACTGAGAGTACTTGACTTTTGGGGAAGAAAATTTAACGACTTGCATTCACTCCATTGTAAAGACTGGAAATAATACAGATATTTAATGCGGTACATGACATTGTGAGAGATTTATAAAGCTTGAACTGACCTCAGCAGTTAGATGTTCTGTCCCTGCCCAATTCTGTAAAAAAATAAAAAAGCCTTTTTAACTCATTAAAATTTCAGGAGGGCTCATTGATCCAGCATTAGTAACTGAGCGCCATTTACAAAACAACTATTAAACAATTAAAATAGTGTATTTTCTCAAAGTAGGGGACATTTATTTCTCCCCACAGTAGTGAGACTTCCCCCGAGGCATAGGCAAATACCACTTAGCTACCAGGAGACCAATTTCTGAGAGCAATACTGGTCTTATTGGCAATATTACTCAAAGCGAGACAACAAAGGCAAATCTGATAACACAACTTCAACATAATGAGATTCAGTGTCTGATAGATTCCTGGTGGAGGTGAATTTCACAGCCACTGAGAGCTCCCTTGTCCTGGTTCCCATGAGTTCTGCCCTAGGGATAGACGGCAGGCCTGTGGCAACTGTTCATGAAAGGAGGTAGGTTTGGGAAGCAGTGGGGGTATTTCTAATTGGATTAGTATTGGAGACACTTAATGGAGTCTGGATGTGTGGAAGCAGGGTCCTATTTCCCTAATCTTAGCCAGGTAGCTGTGTATGAGTGGGATACAGATGAAGCTGTATTTCCCCTCAAAAATCAGCCATTGGCATGGAAAAATGGCCCCACCTTTTTGCACTTGTATGCATTGTTCATTTGTTCAGCGGCTTGGATATGCAATGGGGATTATTGAAACAAGTCTTGGCAGCCACTGTTGTATTCTTTATCCTCAAGAGTAAGTAACAAAATAGTAACACACTTCACAGCTGGTGTGTTCACATGCACACACAAACACACACACACTCCAGCTGTCCATTACACCCACAACTCCCTTGACCCCACAAGTTCACAGATGAAAACTTCCTCCTATGCTGATACAGATGGCTGGGGAATCTGCAGTGTGGCATTGTACTTTCATCTCCATTTTCATTTGAAAAAAGAGGCCAAGTATGGGACATCAGATTCCCTTTCCTCTCTTCTTCCCCCCTGCCCTCCCCACCTCCCACAAAGGATATTCAAACACTAATGAGAACGTAGTGATCCCGTATTCAAAGCCAGCATTGTCAGTAGGAGGGGGAAGGGCAGCTTCAGAAAAATGTTCAGATGTGTATCTTCATCTTTAAAGGTTAGAATTTACATTGTTCTCAGAAGGTTCCACTGCTGACTCTGGAATGCAGAATTGGTGATGCCTATTAGCTAGATGCTGTAATTTCGTGTTCATGGTGTAACCCAAGACTAGATTAACCCTCTGTTTTCTTTCTTCTGCACTCAGTAGTCTTTATTTCAGAGGGTTGTGGAGGTATTATTGGAATGCTGAGAAGGTTTTAGAGTCCGTGTTTACTACTTTGGCTCTGCATATGCTAATGGTTATATACATATAATGGTTTTCCTTTTTTTGGTTTTGGGTGTGGGAGGAACAATCACATTTTTAAAAAGTTGGGGGAATCTGCAGGATGGGAAGCCAGGAGTGACATTGTGTAATTCCTGCAGACCCAGTGAGGCACCAGAAAGATTTTGAAAACTTGGAGGAAACATGCCTGCCTCATTTGCTCCCCCATGGTAGTTATATGTCTTATTGCTCTCCTTTTCCTTCCCCCCAAAGTAAATAGTGAACTGAAAATGTACCATGTTTTCCTACTTCTGTGTCAAGTCCTGTGAAATTGTCAAAAGCCCGTGTTGTGTTTTTCTCCCAGTGAACAGTTATGGGGAGGATGAAGAGCTAACCACATCTTCAGATAGCGACGACGAGGTGATTAAACAGTTTGCGATCTCTGTGTCACGCTCGCAGAGTTTTCGATCGGGGGTGTCTGAAAAGGCAACACAAGCGGGTTCAGAACGTAAACCTAAATTCAACCGCTTGCTGTCCAGCCATGAGGAGTACAGTACCGAGGCATCTGAATGCGAAGGTATTGTCTGTCTCAAATGAGTATTAAAACATTTGCTTTGAATCCACAGCCACCTAACATGGAGAGAGTCCTTTTATTTTGGGGAAGGAGCAGCCTTGGTTCTGATCGCTCAGGCTAAAATCCATCTGGAGTTTATTCCTAAAGTACTGACTTAGAGCTGGATCCAAAGCCTACTGAAGTCAATGGGAATCTTTCCATTAACTTTGCATGGGTTTTAGATTAGGTTCCTTAATCATTAGGCAAAATTCCCATGCATTTCAATGGGAGTTTTATCTGAGTAAGGACTGTAGGACTCTGCCAGATGATATCTGTTGAACTGCATTTCTTATCAATATGGTGTGTTTTAGCAAGCCTTTGAATAGAAATTGCATGTTTCTTTTATAGCAGCTTTGCAAATACCAGGTAAATAGCAAATGAATTATGTTACATCATTCACCAGTGCATACGCTACATAGCAGGCAACGACAGAAGGTAAAAATTTATAGTATCAAAGGGAACAATTTTTTGACCAATCTTTGTTTATTATTGCAAGTGGCTTTTGAATATTCCAAACAAACATGCATGGTTTTCAAACATTTACCCAAGTGCAAAATTGGTCGGTACAATGGCATTCTATAATACAGGACATGTCTGGGAGAACCTTTCATGGGAAAGCTTCAGGAAACTGCCTGTGTGGTTTTAGTTACACAAAACAGTTGTGATTCTGAAATATTTAGTTACCTGTTAATTATTGTGCTCATTTTGATTTAGGCCCCTCTGTAGAACTGCTGTTAGATCATAATGTGGACTACAGTTACTTCCTTTGTTGTCTTTATAAACCGAAATCATTAGGATTAGTACTACTTTAACATTTATTGTGTTTAAAAAAAAACAACTGTTAGGGCCCAGTCCCGCTTTCACTCAAGTCACTGGGAGTTCTGCTGACTACTTTAATGGAAGCAGATCAGACCCTTTATTCCAAATAACACCCCCTTATTTATGTTTTAGATATTCTCAGATCCTCAGTCAAGTGTACTGCTATCCTGACTGCATGATGGAGGATTCCCTCAGCCTGGGGAATCCATGGCTGGGGTAGAGTCACCATTGCAGGTATATGCCACCCAACCCCCTAACTCGTGATGGGGAAGGGGGTGTGGCCATAGTCTCTACATTCTTGTATTTCCCAGTTGGTGAAATGGCCTCTTGAGGCCAAAGGAATGTAGGTGTAAATTAGAGAAGCCCAGAGGCTGCTATTGCTTATTCCAGTCTCCAGGTTGGCCCCTGGCTGGCCCAAGGATCAGAGGAGTGTAGAGATGGTGGAAAGTCACCTTTGTCCCTCTCTCTCTTGAACTGCGCAGAATATATCGCACCCAGCTTCCCTGGATCAGATCCTCAGAAGCCTTCCAGTGAGTTATGCTTTGTTCCTGATCACGAATATTAACACAATCTGGTGAGGAACTGCACAATCTTCTGCTGGGACATTCAGTAACCCAGGAAAGTGCCTTTTGTTAAATACTCTGTTGCCTTCAATCCTTTTGCCCCTCTTCTCTCTCTCTCATCTCCTCCTTTGATGCTGCATGATGGAGATAGTTATATGAGGTTTATCTTTCCCGTCTCTCTAGCTACAGTTTACCCAAGTCCTGATCCTCCAGTCCAGCCATGCAGCAAAAGTAGCTGCTGGCTAACTGTTTGCAGTGGTCCCAAAAATGCTGGTGCATGGTGTATTTGGGCCACGCTCGCTTCTTCCTGGTATGCCTCCTCCCTTGTGGACTATAAAGCGTGTCCTGTAACTTACAAGACAGGGGAGTGGCCAGCTAGCCACAAAGCAGCAGCCTCCTAAGAGTTTAGCATCTGGCTCTCATTCGCAAGGCGCTGGATCCTCTGCAGTGTGTTAAGCGTCAGGAGCCTCAGCAGGCAGCAGCACTGGTTCCTCTCTGGCACATTTCCTGGGCACTGACTGAGTCAGTGCCCCCTTCTCAGCTCACTTGCCGTAGGCCCCAGGACCAGCGCTGACCACCCCAAAGGTGCGAAGCTTCTGGTTTTCAGTTTTACTCTTTCAGGGGCACACAGCAATTGTGGAGCTATCGACGCACATGTGCTCACACACTTTGCCCAGTCTAACACTTTTATGCTCTTTTACACTTAATCATGAAATCACTGGAGGGGACAGATCATTCAAAACAATAAACATCGGAAACTGCAGTGCCCCTCACTTTTCCTTGTGAGTCCTGGGGGAACTATCTGGGTCCAGGCAGACAGTGTGTCCCCTGTCTCATGCAGGCTGTTACATGGTAAGTGGTCTCTCCCTTATGGACTGAAGAAAACGGGCTCTGAGCAGATCAGCCTCTGCCCTTTTAAAACTTTCAGCCCCTCCCCCGCTCCCATGTCAGGTGACCTCCTTGCCAGCTTCACCATATGAGCACAAATCTGTTCCATGACTTTGTTGCAAAGGTGACTTCCTCCTTGCTAAACCAGTTCTTCTGGGCGGGGACCAGTCCTGTGTCTAGAGTGAGCAGATGTCCAACAGTTGGGAACGTAGGAGTCAATTACCTTCTACTGTCCTTCATTTGCTGCCAGTCTTGGGAATTTTCAACTCGGCATGGTGGCAAACAGACCACAGAGATGACAAAAGGCCGCACATTCAGAATGGAGTTTGTAGACTGACACAGACATGCAGGGTTCATAATCTCACACACAATTCACAAATTGTATAGCTATATTCCCAATTCATCACAGTTTCAAATGCTGGAGCATCCATCTTTAAACTGGAGGGCTTATTCCATGTCCTTTTACATCTTGTTGGTAAGAAGGTTTCCCTGATATTCAGCGGAAAGTTTCTGCTGATTTAAGTTCATCCGTGTATCACCCTAAAAAATAAATAGATTTTAAGGCCAGAAGGGACAATTGTGATCATCTAGTCTGTCATCTTACATGATACAGGTCTGAGAATTTCATCCAGTGATGACTCCATCCAGCCCAACAACTTGTGATCACATTACAGCATGTCATTAGGAAAGATATCCAGTCCTAAAGATGCCAAGCGATGGAGAATTTTCCCACATCCCTTGATAATCTGTTCCATTGTCTGATGATCCCCAATCTTTTTCTTACCCATTAGTTGTGTTGTGATGAGAGTAGTAGACTTTTGTGGTTATAATGGCCAGGACCAGGCTCCTGTTTGCTTTTTTTGAGAACTGGAACCTCAGTACTTCCTTTCTCGATCCCTTCAGTACCTCTTCAGTTGTCCATGATTTAAATTTTTTTTTTTTTTTTTTTCAGAAATAGTTGTTCATAGTACAGTGAGTTCATTCTTCGTAAGTTCTCCTCTGATCTGGCACAGATGTTTGCTAAACTTCTTACAGTGTCAAAGTACACCCTCACATATACACACGCAGTTATCACTGACAGGACTACCATAAATTTAAAGAAATAACAAGACCGTTCCCTAAAATAGTCAATGGTGAATCGCACTTTTCTTTTCTTTCCCTTGAAACTTGCCTTGTATACCACATTTGCTTTCATAACACTTAGAGAAAGTTCTTTGTTATATTATATATTTCAGGGCTTTCAAAATTCCTCTATTATTGATCTAGATATTATCCTGGCAGGAGTCCAAAACCACAAGACAATTGCCTGGGGATAATTTATTACTACAGTTATGTTTTATCTGAAAGTCTGCTGCGTGGCGTATGCTTTGATGGATGACCCCCTGTTTAAAGTGTGTCTAAGACACTGATTTGCTAATTAAACACCTTAAGGAGAATCCATATTTGTACAGTCTCAGTAAATTTGTATACAGACATTTCTTTTATTTCTTGCTTGTTCTGCCTTCTTGCTTTTGCTTTTATTTTCTGTTTCTATATTTGCAGAAGAAATTGAGTAAAAATATGATAGTAAAAATCATGTTGCTTTCCACACGAATGGTGCAGTTCTTGGAAGGAACTAGAAAACAAATCCCTAAGATTAAAAAAAAAGGGGGAGGGGGCTGTGGCTTACTGGTTATGTAAATACAGTGAACTCCGTTCTGAGTTTGTGACTTTTACCAGCATTTCAGTGGTGTAACTAATTTTACTCCGAGGAAGGAAAATGAGTTATACCACTGTAACGCTTATTTATGTCTGGAACAAAGCCTGCCTTCGGTTTCACGAGTATAAAATCAGAAGATACCTGGTTTTCTGATTAAGCCACAAATGATTGATTAAACTATAAATGGAATCTGCCTAAACGGAGAGAGAATTTTACTCTGGGTTCCGCGCTGTACCCTGCAGAACTCTCGCAGTTGCCAGTGCAGATTCTGGGTGAGGAGAGGAACAAGTGCTGTATATAAAGAGTAGAGATCTTCACTTTGGAGATAAGAAATTCACAGTTCGGACAAAGGAAGATAATTTTACCCTCAATGATTAACCACCTTCTTCGAGTAGTATCCCTATGGGTGCTCCACCTCAGGTGTGCATGTGCCTCTCGAGCCTGTGATCGAAGATTTCTAGCTAGGAGTGCCCGTTCGGTCTGCACATGAGCCTTATGCCACCTATCCTGAAGGATGACCCAACACTCTCACAAATCTTAGGAGACAGGCCAGTCCTTGCCTACAGACAGCCCCCAACCTGAAGCAAATACTCACCAGCAACCACATACCACACAACAGAACCACTAACCCAGGAACCTATCCTTGCAACAAAGCCCGTTGCCAACTGTGCCCACATATCTATTCAGGGGACACCATCACAGGGCCTAATAACATCAGCCACACTATCAGAGGCTCGTTCACCTGCACATCCACCAATGTGATATATGCCATCATGTGCCAGCAATGCCCCCCTGCCATGTACATTGGTCAAACTGGACAGTCTCTACGTAAAAGAATAAATGGACACAAATCAGATGTCAAGAATTATAACATTCATAAACCAGTCGGAGAACACTTCAATCTCTCTGGTCACGCGATTACAGACATGAAAGTTGCGATATTACAACAAAAAACTTCAAATCCAGACTCCAGCGAGAAACTGTTGAAATGGAAT